CTGTCTGTCTGTCTGTCTGCCTGTCTGTCTGTCTGTCTGTCTGTCTGATGGTAGTACTCTGTTTGTTTCCAGTGTCTGAAGACCTACACCGGCCATAAGAATGAGAAATATTGCATCTTCGCCAACTTCTCTGTCACAGGAGGGAAGGTGAGATCAGACTGAGCATGTGCAGCTCTGACATCACGGCTGGCCTGGGTGACTCAGGTGTTCTGACTCGAGTGTGTCACCTGTGTTTCAGTGGATCGTGTCAGGTTCTGAGGACAGCATGGTTTACATCTGGAACCTGCAGACCAAAGAGATCGTCCAGAAACTACAAGGACACACAGGTTTGACTTTTAACTTCACACTGACCTCCACCTGTGTGTGTTCTGATGATCCACTCAGACCCCTTTTCCACCAAAAAGAACCAGGTGCTAGTTCCAGTGGTTAGTTGGTTCCAATCTAAGAACCGGTTGCTTTTCCATCGGCAGGGAGCCAAGTTAGAGCCGTACGTCACTGCATACGTAGACGATGAAGTCCGTCTGGAGTCCACACAGGACTTCATCCCTGGTGTCACTCTGTCACAGACAAAACATCTGACCTGCTGAACATGTTCTTATTGATAAACGCTACAATTTACGATGTTCCCTGAACGCCCCACACTGCAGGCTGGGGTAGCTGCTGCTGGAGGCCGCGGTGCTCAGACCGGTGTGTGACCAGAGATGACTTTAACAGAGTGAACCAGGAGGTTCTGGTGTCAGACCTGTCCAGGATGAAGCCCAGTGATCTGTTCTCATGAGGTCTTTTGTATGAGCAGAACAAACAGCGTGTAGCTGAGGTCCGTTTGTCACCAGAACACCTCATGTCTAAGTGTAAATACCAAAGTTCTAACAGTCCTGTTCTCCACCACTGTGGTGCTGCTGCTGGGACACAGTTGGACCGGATTTCAGCGCAACAGTTTGTGCAGAACTTCTGTGTGTCCCTGGACTCATTCCAGTACGTCTGTGATTGGACCAGAGATGTCCTGGTGAAAAACCACACAATACACCGCTTGTGTGTCCCATTCATCGGTCTTGTGGTCCTGATAGCCCCGCCCCCAGCCCCACCCCCAGCCCCTGACGGACCCGGTGCTGAGCTCTGGCCCAGCAGAGAGTTGGTGCCTGAAAAGCACCAGTTCTGAGAACCTGGAGCCGGTGCTGAGGCGATGGAAACACAAAAGAACTGGTGCTGAGTCGGGCTCTGGCTCTGAACTAGACCTGGAACCAGTTTGGTGGAAAAGGGGTATCAGTGAAATCTGGACCTCTTAGAGTGGGTGTCAGGTTCTGGTCCTGGCTCTGGTCTCTCTGTGTCTCAGTCTGTCCTGTGTCCTGGTGTCTCTGCAGACGTTGTGATCTCGACCGCCTGCCATCCGACAGAAAACTTAATCGCTTCAGCTGCTCTGGAAAACGACAAAACCATCAAACTGTGGAAGAGCGACTGTTAGAGTGAAGGAGGACTGCAGGTCCAGAACCAGAACCAGACTGGACTGGTTTGACTTGGTAACACAGAAAACACCCAGAGACACGATGGGACCAGGCGTCAGTGTGACCCAGAGTCAGAAAACCATCCATCAGCTGAAAACACCAAACCAGAACCGCTGGACTTCTGCTGGAACCACCAACAGAACTTTGACTTAAAGGTCCAGTTCACTGTTGAAACACCGGCGTGACCCGCTTTTATACAGAAACAGGCTTTAAGTGTTCAGAAGAACCTCCGTCTTTTCCTCGTGTTCGTCTTAAACTTCTGAGGCTCAATCGGATTAAAAGCCGTCGTGTGGTTCAGGAGAAAATCATTTCTGGTCCTGACCCACTTGATTCATAAAATAGACAAAGTGGAGATTTTTTTCAGTTGCACATCTGACTGTTGATAATCAGTTTGATTAAACTTATTGATGAGTTCACCGATTGTAGTAATAATCACTGCTGACTGAGCTGACGTGATCGATCAGTTTATTGATGAAGCATCAGTCTCCAAACTCCTCTGTCCTGGTCGGAGCGTTTTCTTTGCCTGAACTCAAAGTGTTTCAATGTTTTATAGACAAACAATCGAGAATTAATTCTGAAGAATCAATAATGAAACCTGAAATCATAGTTTGTGTTAAACACTGATCGAGTTGCTTCGTCTCCTGGACGCCGTCTCTGACGTCTTCAGGGACTTTTCTCTCCTTTAAAGACAGTTTTTGTGACTGAGCAGCTCCAGAACCAGGATCCGGTCCATGTGGACAATCAGCAGCACTGTTCCTTTTAAAAAAAAAAAAAAACTACAACAGGTTTCTGTGTTGAAAACACTGAACTGTTCCTTTAACGTTGTCGCTTGAGTTCTGATGTTGCTTGGAAACCGTCCGAGTGACCGTTTGACGCCTGGGTTGCCGTGGAAACCGTGTTTGTGCTGTTGGGACTTTAAACAAACAGCAGCTCTTTATCTTCACGTGTCTGACGGATTCCTGATCAATCAGCTGATCGGTGAGCAGAAAAGTTGGTTTCAGTTTGTTTCTGTAAATAAAGGTTTTGACTACGAGCCGGTTGTGTGGCGCTGAACTCACCTGAGAGAGTCTGCAGGTAAAAACCCCAGAAGAAGAAACAGTCACATGAAAATAGATTTTATTCAAACAGAACAGATGCATAGTTTGAATCGTCACTTTCTGTTTCAGTCTGTTTTCATTCCATGAATCAGTTTTTCTGTTTCCAAACCAGATGTTTTAGTTTCCAGGAAACTTTGCTCAGAATCTCTTTGACACCAGCTGCTGTGAGTCTGAACATTAATGGATGTTTAAAGTGAGGCTGGAACCATTTAAACTGAAACGGACAAAGTTAGTTTCTGCAGTTTTTAAGAAATGATTCAGGATGAAGAGTTCCGTTTCTGTTCGTTATGATTCCAGTGACTCACTTAACGCAGATTTAATGTTAAGCTAGTCGACAGGTCTTCCTCATGTACATCCAGTGTTTATTTGGAATCCTGTAAAGTCGCATTAGAAGAAGACGAAGGAAGCTCGACAAAGACATGAGCGGTGATGAACAGTGGCGTCTCGTCTGCATAGAGTTGCACATCTTAAACTTATTTCTTCTTCAAAATATCAAGTTTAACGTAAAAATATTTGCATAAATAGAGCGATCCTGATTCCCTCCTCAGATTTAACACAAGCAGCAGGTTACTCCAGTACAACACTTTGTTTTTCAGGTTTAATTCCTCATTAAAGATGCTGCAGTCTCCTTAGTGAAAGAAAATCATGAAAGCATCGACTGAACAGGTTTAACAGCAGCACCTGGTTTAATGTCAGCAGAAGAGAACCAGACATGGTTCTAGATTGTGGAGGAATCAGTAAAAAACAAACAACATCATTAATGTGGGAGGAAACTGCAATTAAACTTGAAGAACTTCATTTTCTACATTCATCACTGTGAATTTAAACAGTCTGATCTTTAAGAAGTTACCTGCAAAACACTGAACCGGAAACTAAAACATTTCTGAAAGTTCCTCGACGGCGCCTGAGTTGCAGCTCTGACACCAAACTACAGGAACTTAGAAAAAGTTAAACATTTTAAATGCGTCTAAACACAAGCAGCCGAACAAAAGCTTGAACTAAAACCAGTCGTTCGTATCAAATACAAAACTCACAATTCATCTCAACACAGAACTTCCAGAACCTTCAACCAGCGAAACACAAACTGTCCTCATCCTCAGCTGCTCCGAACACATTTTCAGTTTTTATTTGCATTTAAGGTTTCTTGGGTCGTTCCAGCTGTTTGCTAAGTTTTACTGCGACGTCGACTGAACAGACAAATTCATCCAGTTTCAACTTAAACGTCTACTTTATGGTTGTTACAAAATATTTGATGTTTTTTTCTGCAGAATTAATTTTATTTATTTAGTCGTGCTCTCATAGCGTTAAACATGTCTTCAAACATGTCTGAAAGTTGACCCGTCAACGTTTCTGATGGCAACGATCAACTCTGAGTTTGACTTCAACGATACAAATACGATTTGCAGCCAATCAGACGACAGCAAACACAAAAACACGTCAGGAGGTTTGAGCGGCCTCGATACCTGAAACACAAGCCTCCGTCTGAACCAGGTAGTCCAGTCCTTCTAACGTTAGCATCGTCTTGCTAACACTTGACTGCAAGACAAGCTTCTTTACAGTCACTGCATCCAGTTTAAACCAGTCCAAACTGGACTAGAGCAGTTATTAGCAGCCTTATAGTGATCTAAACCAGTCTAAACCGGTCTAAACTATTTACCAAGATAAGAGTAATAGAGCTAGAGGAATCCAGCAAAACCAGTTTAAACCAGTCTGGACCAGACTGGAACTTGGTCACTGTTTCAGAATGGACCAATCCGAAGCGGTCTGGACCGGTTTAACCCATCCAGACTTAATGAGAAGAGTTAATAGCAGCCTTAAAGCAATCTAAAACAGGGTATACTAGTTTGAGCTGGTCTAAGCTGGTCTAAACCAGAGACAGTAAGACAGGTAGCAGAATCCAGCAGGACCAGTTTAAACCAGTCCAGACTAGAACTGGATATCTTTTCAGAATGGACCAATCCAAAGCAGCCTAAACCAGTTCGGACGGGTCGGAACCAGTTGTCCTCTGCAGCGTGGTGTTGCGTTCAGACTGGATTCAGCAGCACTGTGAATCCCACCTGAACTAGTCTGAACTGGTTCTAGACCAGTGGCGTCCAGCGCAGCGTGCCAATGGAGATGAGGGTCTGGCAGGTCGCCGAGTCCAACCAAACCGACTCCACCAGGCTGAAGTGCAGGAAGCCAAGAGCGAAGCCGCAGCCGACGTCTGACACGTGGTGTTTCCCCAGCAGCACCCGGGACACGCCCACCAGGAAGGCCCACAGGTAGAGCAGGATCCTGAGGGGCACCTGGAGGATGGGCACACCTGGATCAGCTCACCTGACCTAACATTCACTCAGATTCTGCTGTCATCAGGTCACAGTGACGGACTCACCGCCAGCACCAGGTGGTTCAGCAGGAACTTGGCCACCATGGCGGCCCGGCTGGCGTGGGCTGCTGGAAAAGAATACATATCCATGGCAACGTAGTCCAGAAACCCCGGAGGGAGGTCCCACGGGCCTCGACGTTTGACCAACTTCTGCATCCCAGCAACCGTCATCAGGTCCAGCAGCAATGCTGCAGCGAGACAGACAGACAGACAGACAGGTGTTAGACAGACAGGCAGACAGACAGACAGACAGACAGGCAGACAGACAGGTGTTAGACAGGCAGACAGGCAGACAGACAGTCAGGTGTTAGACAGACAGACAGACAGGCAGACAGACAGACAGACAGACAGGTGTTAGACAGACAGACAGACAGACAGGTGTTAGACAGACAGACAGACAGACAGACAGACAGACAGGCAGGTGTTAGACAGGCAGACAGGCAGACAGACAGACACAGACAGACAGACAGTCAGGCAGACAGACAGACAGACAGACAGGTGTTAGACAGGCAGACAGGCAGACAGACAGACAGACAGACAGGTGTTAGACAGACAGACAGACAGACAGACGTGTGTGTGTCTCACCCAGCAGCAGGTTGACCAGCACTTCCTGTCCGGCCAGCGTGTTGCTCCTCCAGAGGCAGATGAGCGTCCCACAGATCCAGGGGAGGGCGTGGCCTGTCAGGGCGAGCAGCGTCACCACGGAGCGCAGCGGCGCCCCGCCGCCCTGAGCCCCCACGCACACGCCCAGACGCTTCGACAGGCTGAGGTCAATGGCGAGCAGAGAGCTCACGGCGATGCCTCGAAACGTCGGGTTGAGCTGCATGCAGTCCTGCTCCGGCCACCGGGACGAAGGAGGCGTCGCTCCGTCAGCTGCAGGACCCTCGGAGGAGTCGCGGGACCCCCTGAGGACCAACCAGAACCCACCAGACTCACAGAGTGTCCAACCAGAACCCACCAGCCTCACAAACCGACCAACCAGAACCCACCAGACTCACAAACCGACCAACCAGAACCCACCAGAC